AGCTTCTCCTTTTTCCTGGGCTTCTCCTTTCTGCAGCTGTTGATCCTTTTGCTGATTCTGCTCCCACTTCTGCTTCCCGTGTTCAGTGCCTGCTGATTCTGCTTCTTTTTCTTCCTCAGCTTCTTCTTCTCTTGTGCTTGTCCTTCCTACAGCTATTGTGCCTTTTGCTGACTCTACCCCACCTCTTCTTCCCCTTTTTCACTGTCTGTTAATTCTGCTACTTATCTGCTGATTCCACCCCTGATTATCATTTTCCTACTGATGCTTTTCCTTTTACTGAGTCTGCTTCTCTCTCTGCTGACACTGATTTTCCTTCTGCTACATATGTTGATCCAGCTGCTTTTGCTTCTCCTTCGTGATCTTTTACTTTTTACACATCATTTATGGCATCTTTTGAGCCTCACTTTTACACGGCCCTTCATGGCTACTCAAACCCTGACTGTGCCTTATGATTCCACTCATCACTCTTCCAGCGTCTCAGCATTTCAATTTCAATTTAGCCCCCACCTGGGGAAAATAAAAAGATTATGCTAAAGCCATAGCACTATGTCGTAGATAGCTGGTTAGCCTACAGATCAGCTGTTACAGTCAGCTGCGGCACAGGCTGGAGCGTGGAAGTAGCGAGTCACATGGTACAGAGCATGACCACTGTGAGCCACAGGGAAGAAGGACTTCACGATTGTTAGAAGGGACTGTGCCTGAGTAGGCAGTAGTTGCCACCTCTTCTGGAAGTAGACTGGGGAGGGAGTTGTGGGGCAATAACGTAGATAAGTCACTCTTTTTAGAAAGCCGGATAAAAAGACAAACAAGAATATGGAAGACACTTAAGTAGTGATGTGGACTATTTCTGTCCAGACAAGAGGGAAAAACTGGAGGCAAGTAAGAAAGAGAAGTGCAGAAGGAGCAGGGTTTTATAACGGATGGGGTTGAGACCAAGAGCACAGAACTGAAGGACTGACCGTAGTTGAAGGCGTGATAGCAAATCGTTTGAATCTGGAAAAGAAGAAAAGTTGGAATTTCTGCCTCTCATGCTGCCGCTGAGGTGTTTGACTCGTAATTTCCTTTCTGTCGCAGGTCCTGAATTTGTGCCTCCTTCCCTTCTCAAAGTCGTGATGAAACCCATCGCCACTGTTGGAGAAAGCTACCAGTATCCCCCTGTGAGCTGGGCTGCACTCCTCTCGCCACTTATGAGGCTAAACTTTGGTAAATATCAAGTGTTTTCAGGCCGTCAGACTCTGCTTCTAGGATGTGACCTGAACAGAAAATTAGATTCTGGGTCACAATCGATGGTGACTGGCTAGACCTTTGCGATCGTGAGGTTCGTCTTCTTGGATGGCCACCTGAGTTACTTTCACTGAGTCATGTTATAGACGGCTGAGGCTGAGGAGGAGGAGTTCCGAAGACAGGCCAGATGCACTCATCAAAACAAAGACTTGAGGTGTGCATACTGCGGGCTGCATGGCGCAGGTCCCAGAAAGCCTGGTTTGATGGTCATCAAACTGCATTTTCAGAGCCCTAGGATTCAAGGAAGCCCCCCATGGGATGGCACATTTGGTGTCTATTACTGCTGTAACAAATTACCACAGATCTAGCAGCTTGAAGCCACACAAATGTATCATCTAGTAGTTCTGTAGATCCGAAGTCCAACATGGTTCTCCCTGGGCCAGGATCAAAGTATAGGCGGAAGCATCCTTTCCTAGATGCCCTAGGGAGTGCTAAGGTCTGATTGATTTTGTCCCCCTGAAATTCATATGTTGAAATCCTAATCCTCCGTGTGATGGCATGGAGAGGTGGAGCCTTTGGGGGTGATTAGGTCTTGAATGTGGAGCCCTTGTGAATAGGATTATTGCCCTTATAATTTTTTTTATGTCTTTATTTTATTTTGAGAGACAGAGACAGAGACCGAGCCAGGGGAGGGGCAGAGAGAGGGAGGCACATAATCGGAAGCAGGCTTCAGGCTCCGAGCTGTCAGCACAGAGCCCAACGCAGGGCTCGAACTGCGAGATCATGACCTGATCTGAAGTCAGACACCCAACAGACTGAACCACCCAGGCACCCCTGTTGCCCTTATAAAAGAGGCCCCAACGAGCTCCCTATCCCCTTCCATGGTGTGAAGACGAGTCGAGAACTGGCCGTCTGCAGCCGTGAAAACGGGTCCACCAGAACCCACCGTGCCGGTACCCCAATCTTGGACTTCCAGCTGCCAGAACTATGAGAAATACATTTCCGCTATTTGTAAATCCCCCAGCCTGTGGTATATTGTTAGAGCAGTCTGATCAGACCAGGACAGGGAGAATCCATTTCTTTCCCTTTCCCAGCTTCTCCAGGTTGCCCACACTCCTTGGCTTGCATCCCCCTTTCATCCTCAGAGCCCACACTGGAGGGCCAAAGCCTTCTCACGCTGTTCTCTACAACCAGGAAAGGTTTTCCACAGTAAAGATTCATGTGATTTCTTGGGTCTTTTTGAACAATCCAGGCTAATCTCCCCATCTCTGGTCCTTAACCTTAATCACGTCTGAGAAGCCCCTTTGCCATGCAAAGTAACACGTTCCCAGTTTCCAGGGATTAGGATGTAGGCATCTTTGAGGCCATGATTCTACCACAGATTGTTTGTGATGAGAGGCAGAGGGAATGCACACCACAGCAACCTCTTTTATGGTGTTGATATATGCACATTTAATCCCATGTACTTGCCTCCTGGCCTCAAGAAAAAATGGGGGGGGACAATTTTTTAACAGTGCTATAATGTGTGTGTGTGTGTGTGTGTGTGTGTGTGTGTGTGTGTGTGTGTGTTTGCCCACTGCTATTTACAGTAGGGTGCTCACTTACGATATACAGAATGATTCGTAAACCATAGTTTATGTGCAACTGAGAGGGTACCCAAAACTGATTCTGACTCAGTACAGTTTTTCACTTATACACTTTCATTTGAACCTAATATCTGTGTAAGATACAATGTCACCCATACCATGTTTCTGGAGATTTCATTTGAAAATGATGTTCTCCTGAGCCTCCCACTGCCTGTGTGTGCTGTATTGAAAATGTTTATGTTTTAGTAAAAATCCCTAGAAAAAAGAAGAAAAGGTCTGGTTGGGAAAATACGTCTGCTGATTCGATAAGGCTACTAAAAGGACTCGATCCCTGGGGAATGTGGCAACCTTTTTAAGTCCTAACAGACCTAAACAAATTTCTCTATGAGCTGAGTGCAAGGTAGAAGGAGAGGAGGGCAGAGACAAAGTTTTACCCAGAGTTTTCTCAAATTTTTCATAGTGTTCAATTATTTACTTTTCTTAGGGCACTGTTAGAGAAATTTCCAGAACTAGATCACAGCCCTTACCAGTCCCAAGACTTAACCCTCTGTTGCCTCTGGGTACATTCTTTGGCTCACAATGAAAAGGTCACTTGAAATACCTTTTGGTTTACTCAAGTTCTGTTATTGGTAGATGTCACACAAGCTTTGATTTGAGACATAAAAGGCTGAAATGGAATCCAAGGAGGAGCTGCATTACACATATACCCTCTTCTTCTCTTTCAGGAGAAGAGATACAGCAACTCTGCCTTGAAATTATGGTGACACAGGCGCAATCATCCCAGAATGCAGCCGCACTGTTGGGACTGTGGGTGACACCTCCACTGGTCCATAGTCTAAGTGTATGTAACAGTGAAGGGTGTTGGGCAACGGGAGGATATGGTTCTTTTGGGAGAGATTAACATGGGTGCATGTTCTCAAAGTCAAGAGTGGACAGATGTGATTCTGTAAAAATTGGGGGCGTGGCAGTCGCTGGCCAGCAGATTGGAAGATTGTGATTCCGAGCTCTGCCCCAGCCATCGACATTCATGCTTTCAGCTCCCACTGATTATGAAAACGGGAAATGATGGTCAGAGATATTACAGCTCCTTTCTCGAGATCATACAGCTAGAAAGTGGTAGAGTTATTGGAACCTGGGTTTATTTATATGATATACAATACCATATCAATGATTTTCATTGGGGTTTTTTTCAATATTTATTTTTGAGAGAGCATGTGTGCGCAAGTGGGGGAGGGGCAGAGGGGAACAGAGAATCCAAAGCAAGCTCTATGCTGATGGCAGAGAGCCCGATGCAGGGTTTGAACTCACGAATCACGAGATCATGACCTGAGCCAAAGTTGGATTCTCAACTGACTGAGCCACTCAGGCTACCCTGATATTCAGTAGATATTAAGAGAAAGGGAAATCCATACATGATCCCTCCCTTTCACAGGAAAGGCAGCAATTCAGGTGAGCCTTCAAGGCTTGGTAGGATTTCATTAAGCATCAAGGTAGAGGCATGGGGCGGGTGTAGGTAGAGAGTGTAGAACATCTCTGCTAGGGTGTTGGGCTTGAACAAAGCGCTGAGGAAGAAGTGACCTAGCCTGGTATCTATGATAGAGGGAGCCAGCACCTTCCAGGACACAGGCTAAGGGGTAAGTAGGAAGAATGGGATAAGACTGTTCAAAGATGTGCAGTTAGTAAATTGTATAATTTTGAGTATATTCTAAGGCAGGACAAGAAAAACTCCATTCCATGATTCCTTAGAGGTTTACCAATTGATTAATAAGTTAAATGATCTCGCCATTGTTATTCTTTTATTCAGGGGGCTTTAATTCTTTGAGGATATTGCAAAGCTCTTGTATTAATTCCTCAGTCTTTCAAGTTCAGTTCCTATTGTGTACTTTTTTTTTTTCTTTTAAGCTCCACTACTTTTCTAATTCGCTTTCGTTGAAGGGGCACGTGATTGAGGTCTGCACCCTTTCCATCAGCAGCTGTCATGAGCTATCTGCTCCAAGCACATCCCACGTAGCCGCCATTACTGAGCAGTTGCTCTGTACCTGCTACTTGTAAGCTCTCAGTGAGAGCTTTCAGACGTCAGACTGAATCTGTCTTCAAGCCTCACACACCAATGTTTTTTACATCTTTGAGTTTTAATTTCTATTCCATGAAATATGGCTATTTTAAATGTACAGTTTGATGGGTTCTGGTACATTTGTACGTTTTCGTCCATCACCAAGATTTCCATCTCCCCCAGAAAGTTCTGTCGTGCCAATCTGGAAACACTCTCCACTCCCAGGCTCAGACCCAGGCTACCGCTGATCTGCTTTTTGTCTCTATAATTTTTCCTTTTTTTTAAATTTTTTTCTTTTTTCTTTTTTTCTAAGAGGGAGAAAGAGAGCACATGAGTTGGGGAGGGGCAGGAGGTGAGGGAGAAAAAGAATCCCAAGCAGGCTCCACACCTAGTGCAGAGCCTGATGCAGGGCTCGATTTCATGACCGTGAGATCATGAAATCAACCTGAGCCAAAATCAAGAGTTGGACTCTTAACCAACTGAGCCACCCAGATGCCCCTACAATTTGTCCTTTTTTAAACAACTTTCATATAAATTTAAATTTCATATAAACTTTAGAAATTCTCTAGAACGGAATCATACAATATGAAGTCTTGTGTGCCCAGCTTATCCCACTGTGACAAGTAGACTTTATTGTTTCCATTTTACAGGCTGACAAACTGAGGCAAATTGGGATTAAACAAAGTTTATGTAGCTAATATGTGGGAGTGAGCCTGGCTGACTCCAAAGTCCGTGTTTCAGACACTGTTCTATTAACTCCTCTTTCCTTCTGAATCAGGTATAACTTGAACAGCCTATTTTGTTTACCTCAAAAATCTTTCTAGAATTTTTATCCTTCCACTTCTTTTTCAGATCTGTGTTACTTTTTTGCATTTGTCTTTGAGGATGGACTTTTCTTATTATCATTGTTAATTAATAAATTAAGTTTATGAATTCATTTTCTTCATTATATACCTTCCCTTTTTAAAAAATGATCAGAGGGCTCCTCAGAGGCTTCATCAGTTAAGCATCCGACTTCAGCTCACGTCCTGATCTCCTGGTTTGTGATCTCACAGTCCATGAGTTCGAGCCCTGACATCGGGCTCTATGCTAATAGCTCAGAGCCTGAAGCCTGCTTCGTATTCTGTGTCTCCTTCTCTCTGCCCCTCCGCTGCTCACACTCTGTGTGTCTCTCTCTCAAAAAGAAACAAACATTTAAAAATATTAATAAATAAATAAAAATAAATTTAAAATGATCAGAAATGGCATGTTCTTTACAGTGAACTGTTCAGGTGAGTCGTGCAACCCCGCTGATATTTTTTTTTTTAAATTTACTGATGTTTGTCTGGTTTTATTTTTGTAGACCACTTCTTTTAGACTTGCTGCTCCTTTAGCCGCATACTTAACATTTCTCAGAATTTTTGAAGCCTCCTCTCTTAACACCATTGGCAGAGAGCTATTTCTCACCGTGCCCCTTTTCGGCGCTCGTGATCTCCAGCACGCCGTGGTCAATTCTTCATGTTCAGCTGTTCCTCTTTGGCCAAAACTGGTTCTGGCCTGCCAAGTCTCCTTTGTATTTCCTTGTGCTGCCTAGAAGAAGAAATTAATAATATCAGATACTGTGGCTAGTCGATTTCCTGCAGATGAGACTTTCATCTCCAGGATTTTTTTTTCTTTTTGCCAGAGAATGTGACCTTTTAAGACTGAATAGCAACTGTCATATCCTTTCAGAAAGAAGTAGCATTTTCTTCCCCTCACCGAAAAGATCCAAGGTTTAAGCAGAGTAGTTCACAGGCGAATCAGCATATACAGTATACACACGAATTGCCCTGGACCCCAGTTGACTTCAGTGGCCTCAGTCACATGCAGCGGAAAATAAGGGGCAAGGAAGTAACCTTGAACGTTCCATCTCTCAGTCTGCCCTCCGACACAGGGATGGCTTTGAGGTTTGGAGCCCTGCAAACCCAGACTGGGCCCGTTTCTCCCTGACTTCTTTTTGCTTTGCTTCCAGTTGAGTATCAAGAAATACCTCCTGGTGTCTACACCTCTTTGGATAAAACACGTCTCTGACGAACAGATCGTGGGTTTTGTCGAAAACTTAATGGTGGCGGTGTTTAAAGCAGCACCTGCCCCTCCCAGTCCTGAGTTATGCGCGGGTGCCCTGCAGGGCCTGAGTCAGGCCATGAGGCTGCCCAGCCCTGCCCACCACCTCTGGAGTCTGCTCTGTGAAGCTACCGGGAAGATTTTTGACCTTCTGCCAAATAAGATTCGGGTGAGGAACAAAAATATTTACATTCCTGACCATTTATGTTTGGGATCTTTCTTAAGCCCTTTTGGCAAAGTGAGGAGGTGGATGTTTTAAGAATGTGGTGGGAAGGCTAGGAAGAAATAACCACATTTTTCACTAAGAATGTGTTTGCGTCCAGGATCTAAATTGAGGTTGGATATTTAGAGCCAAAGTTTTGAGCAGGCTTAGAAGCGGGTTAACCAGTGCTACCCCAGGAAACAGGCTGCCAGCCTTCTACCAGATACCATAGGTGATGGACAGTCTCTGAGCATATTGTCCAATATATGACTAATATCAAGTGACGCAGTATATTTCTGAATGATTTAACTTCTTTGTAAAGCTACAAAGCTTTAAAAGAAGTTAAAAATCTGTGTGGAATGATAGAATCTGACAAGGGGGGGATAGAACAGCCAAACAAAATAATAGGAAAGATTTTTTGTTGTTATTGTTTTTAAGTAAGCTCTATGCCCAACATGGGGCTTGAACTCATGACCCTAAATCAAGGGTCATGTGATCTACTGACTGAGCCAGCCACGTGCCCTAGAAAGATGTTTTTTTATTTTTTTTTTTTGAGTGATAAAAACTGGAAAACATTTTGGTTTGATTAAAATCTCAGAGGCTGCTATTCATGGAGATAAGCAAACCTAATCATTTGTCAGAACATTGAGAATGTTTCTGTTATCTTACATGTATTTTGACGTGCTTGTGATTTTTCCTTACCAGAGAAATGATCTAGAGCTGTATATCGGTGTAGCAAAATGCCTCTCAGAAATGACAGATGATGAAGCCAATCGAGTTGCCCAGATGACTGAGGTAATAACATATCTCTATATTTATTTCCATTATTGAAGTGGGAATTACAGTTGAAGAGGTGGCCACAGTATCTTCTTTTAGACTAAAGCTACTTTTGCTCCATATTTGTTACTGGATAATTTCAGGAAGCTCTCTCTCTTCCACTGGGGTTTCACGTTCAGCCTCATGGAATGGATGGATATATGGATGGACAACTTTTTAACCTACGTAATCCCACCTTGTCAAGAACATTTTAGTGTCACCTTTGGGCAAACATAAGCGTAGGGCAACAGCTTCAGTGCAAAATCCTTAAGAATGGGATTTTGTACTGGCTGAAAAACTTTTGGTGCGTGGAAAACATAAATAAGTGGTCTTATTTTTAAATTTAGTTCCTTTCACCTGGTACTTATCCTTTTGTAATGAAGAAAGGTGGCTAATTGAAACACAAGCCCTATTAGCCCTGACACAAGATAATTAACAAGTGCTTCTTGTACCCACACACAAAGGATGAATGAGTAACGTACCTATAAAGTTGTCACATTTGGTTAGTATGATAGATGTCTTACTAGATTTGAATTGCCTGTAAACAATGATTTTTTTTTTCATATAAGTACATCCCAATGGATATACTTATTCAAATGGCAACCCTGCATACCAGATAATAGCAAAGGTCTAGAGAATTATAAGCCCTTAGCCAGCTGGTGGACTTCTTACCATTTATGTCACTTGATGACAGGTTCAGTTGAATCATTGAATTTCTGCATCAGGTTGCAGTGATTCTCAAAATGTGGTCCCTTGGACCAGCAGCCTAAGCCTGGGAGCTGACTGGAAATGAAAATTCTAGAGTCCCGCTTCAAGGCTGCCTAGTCAGAGGCGGGGCCCAGGAGTGTGGGTTTCAGCAGCCCCTCCAGGTGATTGTGCTGCATCCTGAGGTTTGGGAAACCCTGTTAGACCATTTGGAATATCCGCGTTGTGGAGGTGAGTTTAAGCAAGGACAAGCAGGAACTGTGGAGCCTCGCTGCTGGGGTTTGAAATCCAGCTCTGTAACTTACTAGCAGTGTGACCTTGGTTACGTTGCATAGTCTCTGCCTCCGTTTCCTCATCTACAAAAGGAAGATAATAGCACCCACCTCCTGCAGTTGGTTTGTTACAATGACTTAATCCAGGTTAAGTTCTTGTAAAAGTACCTGACCCAAGGCTAGCACTCAGTAAATCTTTATTATCATAATGATCACATTCATGTGATCTATTATATCCTATTATTATGATATTCATGTAACATAGTTGGAAGTAATGCATATCATTTACTTCGTGGTACCTAGAGCTGAAAGTTGCTGTGTTATTCACCTGGGTTCTTGAAGCACCAGTTAGAAGAGTTTCGCGTTCTAATGAAAATAAGTTCTGTTATTAAATAGTGTTCTGATGTCCCCAAAAGAGTTAGTGTGTTTTACCAGGATCAGCATTTTTTATTCATTTCTGCATAGAATAGAGGTTAGAGTAAAGCAGTGGTGAAGAGCTCAGACCCCCTGGTTTCACTTCTCACTCTGCCAGTCTGGCCACATGACCTTAATCGAGCAAGTGACTTAACCTCTGTGCTTCCTAAGGGAAGGCTGATGGTAATCCTCTGCGTTGGGCAGTGTGAAAATTAAACGGTTAATATAGTGCTTCTCAAAACTGCTGGTCTCAGGACTACTTCAGTGTCTTAAAAATTGTTGAGGATTCCAAAGGGTTTTCATTTAAATGGGTCATCTCTTTTTTTTTTTTTAACATGTATTTATTATTGAGAAACAGAGACAGAGCATGAGCAGGGGAAGGGCAGAGAGAAGAAGCAGAGAGAAGAGGCAGAGAGAAGAAGGGGAGACACAGAATCCGAAGCAGGCTCCAGGCTCTGAGCTGTCAGCACAGAGCCTGACACAGGGCTCGAACTCACGAACCGCGGGGTCATGACCTGAGCTGAAGTCAGACGCTCAACTGACTGAGCCACCCAGGTGCCCCAGTCATTTCAGTAAATCCATTGCATCTCAGCATAAATAAGAATTTTTGAAAACAAAAACAAGATAGAAAAGTGACATTGTTTTACATTTTTGCCAATCTGTTTGGCATTCTCTCATAGAATTCTGTTGGCTTCTTAGAGCTGCTGCTTCATTCAGTCTGTTGTAATGTTGTTTTGGTGAAGTACTTGGGGAAAATCTAGCCTCATACAAATAATGTCCATAGAAAAGGGTACAGTGTGTCAATAGCTTCAGATAATTGTGGATATCTTTTTTTTGATGCTGCAACAAAACTCAACAAATGGTATTTTCTTCCAGATAAGTGCAGCATGTGGAATGTGAGTTCATGTCCACGAACTTCGCATACTCTGCTATATTAAAATCCCTTGGTCTGTCTTGTACTGTGGGTCTTTCCCCAATGTATGATATTACAAAATCATTTGGAAAATCCTGAATCACTGAGATTGAAAATCCTCCACATGTTGATACCTTTCATTATACCATACCAAAACCATTTACCATTATCAAAACATCGCATTTGTTAAAATCTGCAGAAAAGTCTTTCATGCATCGGGAAGCTGCCAACTCATAGTAGCAAATACAGATTTTCCAAAAATCAGATTTTCACTCGAAAGCTCAAATTTTATCATTGGCAGCAAATACTGTCAAGTATTTCCTTGAAGCGGCAGTCTCACTTTCTTCAATTAAAAATAATAATAAAAAGAGGCACCTGGGTGGCTCAGTCGGTTAAGCAGCCGACTTCAGCTCAGGTCACGGTCTCGCAGTTCATGAGTTCGAGCCCTGTATCAGGCTCTGTGCTAACAACTCAGAGCCTGGAGCCTGCTTCCAGTTCTGTGTCTCCCTCTCTTTCTGCCCCTCCCCCCCTTGCACTCTGTCTCTCTCTCAAAAATAAATAAAGATTTAAAACAAATTTTAAAAATAATGTTAAATACTCAGTTTGAATAACCATAGTTTGTCCATCCATCATCCTTTCAAGTAAATGGTGTTCCATTAAGAACTGGCTATTTCGATTCACAGCCCAAACTTAACAAGTGTTCTCCCTGGAAACAGCCGCATCCTTGGGTATGCAGCAGAAAGCCCTTCTGTATACTTCCTGTTTTATCATACAGGCTCTTAAAAAGATGTGTACTCAAGGGCAAAGATTTGATGAAACTAATAATTGTCATGGTTTACAAGAGTATTTTAAATAAAACTTGGTTTTTAAAGAGTTGCGAGTGCCACTGACAAATAAAATGACTGTTCTTGAAGTTTCGGCATTCGTGTGAATATAGTTTGACCTCACAGACCCTTTTTAAAAGGGTCCTTGGGGTCTCTCAGAGGTCTGAGCACCGCCCTCTGTGAACTGCCGAGTTAATACATGTTAATGCCTCGAATGGTGCCTGGCCCATTAGTACTGTGTTTGTTAGTTGTCATTATTATTATTATTTGTGTATTCTTACAAAATGTCACCAGTTAACCCCTGAAATCACTTACGGTTTTTATGAGAAAACAGGAGGTGACATTACAACCCTCCATCTGTATGTACATTTTAAAATCTAGCACACGAGCACACAGGTCACATGCTGCAGGCGATGAACACTTTTCGCATTCAGAATAATAACCCACTTTAAGCTCACCCTTTCTGTTTTGCCCTTGCCTTGAGGTTTCCTAATGTCTTCAGCTAATTTAATAGTAACTGAACAATTTGCTCTTTTTGCAGAGCAGCATAGAAAAGGCTGCCTTTGTCCGACTGTACTTGGTCTCTCAAGGACGATTCCCCCTGATGGGCTTGACGGATGTACTCGGCGTTGCTGCCCAGCACCGTGACAAAGACGTCCTAGCTTGGATGACACTGCACAGCTTGTACCAGGCGCGGATTGTGAGCCATGCCAACACCGGTAAGGCCAGCCCAGGGCGAGGAGCAGGAACAGAAGGATCTGCCTACCGTCCCCTTTGAGCTCTAATTATTTCCTCAACTTACAAACTAGGTTCGTGCTCCTTGACACAGGAGGGCTCTTGTTAACCCCCAAAAAGAACACCTTAAAGTGGAAAGACCAGTTACAGCGCACAGCCCCCACCCCGGAGATGGGAACGGATTCCGTTGGTGGGTTTTATATTGTCTGTAGCCCCCCAGACCCTCGAGGATACATATCACCAAGTTTCTCAGATTGATTCTGCCTGCTTCCTTTACCCAAACAGGATGGCAATCGATTCTGCCTCTGCCTCGAGTCTCCATGAAAATGGCTCTTGGGTGGTTATTTACCAAACAAGTGGGGAAAAAAAGAAAGAAAGAAAGAAAGAAAACAGCCACAACAAAAGTAACTTGTTATTCTATGGGAGAACTACTCGGGGGTGAGAGGGATAAAATCTGAGCGCCCCAACTACATTTTCAGAAGCTCTTGGCCTGAAGCTCTCTCTGCTCATGAATCATACGGTGGAACTTTTAGACCATCATAGACATTTGTACTTTTTTTTTTTTAGTGTTTATTTATTTTTGAGAGAGAGAGAGAGAGTGAGAACACAAGCATGGGAGGGACAGAGACAGAGTAGGGCACAGAGGATCTGAAGTAGGCTCTGTGCTGACAGCAGAGAGCCCAATGTGGGGCTCAAACTCACAAACTGTGAGATCATGCCCTGAGCCAATGTCTGACGCTTAACTGACTGAGCCACCCAGGCGTCCCACACTTATACTTTCATAATCCTCTAAAAGGGGAGCTTCCTGATTTCTCCTCCTATACCTTTGGTCATGTTGCATATAGTCTCCATTCAGTTCTGAATGCCACCCAGCTTCAGGAGATGAGTGGGACCAGGAAACCCCGAGTGCCCTTAGGCAACTTCTATTTCTGTATTTTCCTTCTCATCTTGTATCCTCAAGGTTTTGAGCGAAAACTGGCAGGCAGAATTATAGTCCCCTTTTTGAGACTATACACGAAAGTTTGATTTATTCTCCTCCCTGGCAGTTGAGATCATTGTCTCCTGTCTGCATTAGTGCCTGCCCCGTGAAAAATGACCCTGCGATAAAAAAACTGGATTTCTTACTCTAAATCAAAAGTGTATTTATGAGGAAGAAATCTGATAGGTGTTCCCAAGGAAACACTAGGGTACACAAAGTGAACTGAACTCAGTATGAGCTGGCCTTCCCATGTAGTTCCCGTTTTCCTCTTCCTCACTGAAATTTGATAGCCTCACCTGGGTGGCTAAGTTGGTTAAGCATCCGACTTCAGCTCAGGTCATGATCTCGCGGTTTGTGGGTTCGAGCCCCGCATCGGGCTCTGTGCTGACAGCTCGGAGCCTGGAGCCTGTTTCAGATTCTGTGTCTCCCTTTCTCTCTGCCCCTCCTCCACTCACACTCTGTCTCTCTCTCTCTCTCAAAAATGATAAATATTTTTTTAAAAAATTTAAAGTTGACAGCCTTCCCAAGTCATCTCTACTGTGTTGGGAATTCTCATTTTTTAAAATAAAAAGGGAAGAATCAGTATTTATGCTGGTGTTTGTTCTCTAGTTACCATGTAATAGCTGGTTTTTATTTTTCTTTTTATGTCTTTGGGATAGGCTTTCTCTGTGATTTGGGCATAGAATGGGAACATTTCAGTAAAGGAAGACTATAAAAACAACTAATCTTCCAAGATCCCACATTGCTGACTTGTTGGTGTGCCAGGTTTCTCCTCGTGTGTTTAATGCTGCGAGAGAAACTCCACTAAGTGCATTTTATCCCTAGTGAGCGCCTGGTTTTGAAGAGTAAGTTACCTTTTGAAAATAAAGGCAAAAATACGGTCCTCTGATGTGAATAGCATCAAAGAACTCTGTATTGCAAGAGGATTCGAAACAGTTTCCTGGAATCCTCACTGGAGGTTATGCTTTAGTTGTGATGACTCTTCCTGATCTGTTTTACATTTCATAGGATCCCATGGTCTGGTACAAACATATCCCTTTCGTTTCAGGCGTGTTGAAGAGAATGGAATGGCTCTTGGAACTGATGGGTTATATCAGAAATATTGCATACCAGTCTACCTCTATTCACAGCGTGGCTCTTGACAAGGTACAATCTAGAGGAGTAATCTGTGGCTTCCTTAAAATGTAGAATTTGTGTTTGCTCTCCCAAAAGAAAAAAAAAACACAAAAAATGTTGCTTCTTGCTCTTTCTTTTCGTCCCACTCCTTTCTTTTTATTTTTGGGAAATGATGGTGATATCTCCCCGATGTCCCAAGGAAATGGATGTGCTTGCTTGACTCTCAAAGACAGCCAGGGCTGCCCTGCGAAAAATCATTTCAACAGAAAAAGTTCCTTGGCATACAGAACACGGAGGACACTAGCTGATGAAGGAACCCAGGGTTCTGTGTCCTTGGCCTTGACCCCAACACTTGACCCCAACAAAGGAGGTGGGGTACATTTGTACCCTCCCAGAGAGTGTCATATACCTGGTTTGAAGAGGTGCTGAAGTGCATGCACGTAATCTGTGGTCCGCCAACACTTTCGTGCATGGGAGGAGATTTTATCACACCTGTAAGATGAAGTGTGACCCAAACGAGATTCACAACCCTTGATATTAGGTAAATTAAAATAGGAAAGGTTAATGAATAAAAAGAAGACGGCACTTTCTACTCTTCTAATTTCCTTGACTTTGCTGCCCACTGTGCCTTTTTTTTTTTTTTTACAGTTTTTTTAAATGTTTACTTATTTTTGAGAGAGAGAGAGACCAGAGCATGAGCAGGGGAAGGGCAGAGAGAGTGGGAGACACAGAATTCGAAGCAGGCTCCAGGCTCCAAGCAGTTAGCACAGAGCCCGACATGGGGCTCGAACCCATGAACCATGAGATCATGACCTGAGCTGAAGTCAGAGGTTTAACTGACTGAGCCTTTTTTAGTAGTAGAATTTGTTTTCTGTAGGCCTGATTCACAGGTATCCCATTGACGGTGTGAGTGAAATTTCTGTAAGTTGGGATATTGTTTGAAATTCTGACCAGCTTTTCAGAAGGGTTGGCTATATGCTTGAAATGGTAATTCGTGAGATTATGAATTTTAAGGAAGGAAGGAATATTTTTTTAACTTTGTTTTTAACTAGCAGAATCTGTCTCCTCTTCCTTCTGATCTCCTAAGTTTTTTTAACTTTCTGGTTTCTTGCAAAAATCTTTTTATTTATTTAAAAAATTTTTTAACTTAGAAATTACAGATAAACAGAAAGAAATGTAATTTAAATCATAATTCGGAGGAGGCCCTTGGTTATCACCATTTTCTGTACGTGTTTAGTCTAAACTCTGGATGGATGGATACTAGACAGATTATTTAAAATGCATGTGGAAAAAAATAAATAATAAAATGCACATGGAGACATACAGTCTGAAAAGATGGTGGAATAGGACCCTAAGCTCACCTTATCCCATGGACACTAGATAACACTCACATCAGTGTGAATAGTCCAGGAAATGACCCAAAGGCTGACAGAACAAATTCCTCAACTCAATATAGAGAAGAGGCCACACTGAAGAGGGTAGGAAGGGCGGAGACATGGGGGGATCCAAGCAGACCATAGGCGTGGAGGGAGCCCACATGGGGAAGATGAGTCCCCTAACATTTGGCTTTGAAAATTAGAGGAGCTGATTTTGTGAGTTCTAACAGCCAGCAGGGCTTAAAGCTTGGAACTTTGAAAATCAGCAGGTTGGCGGGACACCTGGGTGGCTCAGTCAGTTAAGCATCTGACTTCAGCTCAAGTCATGATATCGCAGTTTGTGAGTTCAAGCCCCACATTGGGCTCTGTGCTGACAGCTCAGAGCCTGGAGCCTCCTCCATATTCTGTGTCTCCCTCCCCCTCTCTGTGCCCTTCGCATGCTCATGCTTTCTCTCTCTCTCTCTCTCTCAATAATAAATAAAAATGTTAAAAAGTTAAAAACAAAATAAAAATCAGGTTGGGTTCTGAGAGAGCCTGGCCAATAAGAGGAAACCAAGTCCTTGCCCTTAAGGAGACAGCACGACAAAAGGCCTGTGGAGGTACAGCATAGAAGCAGCAATTTGGAAACTGCCTGGGGCATAAGGAAAGGAGAGTTATTGACTCCTCCCAGAGCATGTCCTTATCCAGAGGGGTAGTGTTCACAGGTGACTCCTCCAGGAACAAAGGAGGTGGCAGCCACCATCTCCTTGCCCTGCTCCCCAGCAGTAACACCCACCACCTGTAGGAACCAGTTTGGCACCTGCATTCACTACCTAATTGCTTACACTGTGCCCTGCCTCCTGCCCCCCGGGCTTTGAGGATCTGCCGCCTCCAGCCGGGCTTGCTTCAGTTCCAGGGCTGCGGATCCCTTTCCCCAGAAGATCTGCCCAAACTTTGCTGACCACACAGTCCGTGGGGCCTTGGCAGTGGTGGTAGCAGCGGGTACCCTCTTGCTAAAACCGTGTGCCCCACCCACCCACTCTTTGCAGATCCGCAAGGACTGGCCCTGTGGTGGTGACAGGTCTCCTTTCACAGCAAACCTGAGTGCGTTCTGGTAAAACTGCATGCCCTACCCCTTTGCAGACTCTCCCAGCCACTGTGGTCCCAGATGCAGTGGCCTGTCCCCTGACCCTGGTGCACAGATCTTGGGGGCTCTGCACATCTTACTCCCAAGCACGTTGCAGGTCTGCCTCCTCTAATACGCTCTCGGCCAGAGCCCACTCAAACCGAAGCCACATGCCTGGAAGCATGCAAGCAGCCCTGACAGGAACCAGCACCACTCCAAAGTGACTTCTGCTTGGAGAGAGAAAAAAATAGCCATACACCAGTTGGATTCTTGCCCCAGCTATGGGCAGGAGGCAGGCAATTGGTCTGATTGCCGGCCCTGAGCATCCAATGAAAGTTTCTCAGGGAACAACAGAGGGAATGTGCTCTGAAGTTTGGTGCATCTCTGGTACATGCCTAGTCTGACTCAACTCAAGCCCAAGGCAGCACCAGACAGGCCCACTAACACTATAGGGACCAAACACCCCCCACGACAGGCAAAGAGACCCACTGGAGACAAATGGACTGAAGGAAAAAACAGTCAAGCGACAACAGCAAGGTGCACGCAATATGCATAGGAGACACCTCTGAAGTGCCAGGTTCTGGTAAATGGGGAGAACTGCCCTGCAGAGCATCCAGGACCTCTTTTTCATAAGGCCACTACTTTCAAGAGCAGGAGACATGGCTGACTTTCCTAACATACAGAAACAGACACAGGGAGTTAGACAAAATGAGGAGACAGAGGAATGTATCCCAAATCAAAGAACAAGATGAAACCACAGCAAGAGTCTTAAGTGAAACAGAGATAAATAATATACCAGATAAAGAATTTAAAGTAATGATTATATTCACTGGACTTTACAAAAAAGTGGACATCAGTGACAGCCTTAATAAAGACGTAAAGAATAACCAATCACAGGTGATGAACATTATAAATGAAATTAAAAATTCACTAGATGGAATAAATAGCAGACTAGAGGCAGAAGAATGAATCAGCAACCTGGAGGAAGAGTAATGGGAAGTAATCAAGCTGAGCAGGAAAGAATGAAAAAATTAGGCAAAATGACAATAGACCTAGGGAACTCAGTGACTCCATCAAGCATAACAACATTTGTATTACAGGGATCCCAGAAGAAGAAGAGAGAGAAAAGGAGGCAGAAACTTTATTTGAAGAAATAATAGCTGAAAACTTCCTGAATCTGGAAAGGAAACAAATTCAGATACAGGAGGCACAAAGGACTCCCAACAAAATCAATCCAAGGAGGTCCACACCAAGACACATAATAATCAAAATACAAAATGAGGCAATAAAAAGAGAATTTTAAAAGCAGCAAGAGGAAAGAAGACAGTTATGTACAAGAGAAACCTCATAAAGCTCTCAGCAGATTTTTCAGCAGAAAATTTGCATACCTCTAATACATATAGATGTAAAACCTTCAACAAAACATTAGCAAACTGAATCCAACAATACATTTAAAAACCCATTCACCACAGTCAAGTGGGATTCATTCCTGGGATGCAAGGGTGGTTCAATATTTGCAAATCAAACAACATGATGTAATACATCAATCAGAGAAAGGATAAAAACCTTATGATCCTTTCAATAGATGCAAAGACGCATTTGACAAAATACAACATCCATTTATGATTTTTTTAAAAACTCTCAGCAAAATGGATTTAGAGTGAAAAGAGTTTAGAGGGAGCATACCTTGACATAATAAAGCCACATACTTAAAAAAAAAAAAACTACAGCTAACATCATACTCCTAAGGTCAAGAACAAGATGAAGATGTCCACTCTCACCACTTTGTTTAACATAGTACCCGAAGTCCTAGCCACAGCAGTCAGACAACAAAAAGAAATAAAAGGCATCCAGATCAGTAAGGAAGAAGTCAAACCTTACCTTCACTCTTTGCAGATGACATGATACTGTATATACAATACCTGAAAGACTCCATCCAAAAACTGCTAGAACTGATAAGTGAATTCAGTGAAGTCACAGGATACCAAGTCAATGTACAAAAATCTGTTGCATTTTTATACACTAATAATGAAGCAGCAGAAAGAGAAACCATACCATTTGCAATTGCAATCTCATTTGCAAATTGCACCTAGGAATAAATTTAACCAAGGAAATGACAGACCTGTAATTTGAAAACTATAAAACATTGATGAAAAATGAAGATAATAAAAAGAAATGGAAAGACATTCCATGCACATGGATTGCAAGATGTTAAATATTGTTAAAATGTCCATACTACCCAAAGCAGTCTACAGATTTAATGTAATCCCTATCAAAATACCAACAGCATCATTCACAGAACTAGAATAAACAATCCTAAAATTTGTATGGAACCACAAAAAAACCTGAATAGCTAAAGCAGTCTTGGAAAAGGGAAAAAAAAACTGGAGGTATCACAATTTCAGACTTCAGGATATATTACAAAGCGGTAATACACATATACATATAATACCATACAGAACAGTATGGTATTGGAATAAAAAATAGACACATAGATCAGTGGACTGGTACAGAAAGCCCAGAAATAAATCCACAATTATATGGTCAGTTAATCTTCAACAAAGAAGGCAAGAAGACGCAATGGGAAAAAGCCTCTTCAACAAATGGTATTGGGGAAGCTGGACAGCAATATTCAAAAGAATGAAACTGGTCCACTTTCTTATGTCATGCACAAAAATAAGCTCAAAATGGATGAAGGATCCAAATATGATACCTGAAACTATTAAAATCCTACAAGAGAGTACAGACAGTAATTTCTCTTATAGTAGCCATAGCAACTAGATTTCTAGATTTGTCTCCTGAGACAGGAAAACAAAAGCAAAAATAAACTATTGGGACTACATCAAAATAAAAAGCTCTGCACAGCAAAAGAAAGAGTTAACAAAAACTAATCATCAACTTGGTGGGAGAAGATATTTGCAAATGGCATAGCCTTTAAGAGGTTAGTATCCAAAATATATAAAGAACTCCTACAACTCAACATCCAATCCTCCCCTCAAACAATCCAACTAAAAAATGGGCAGAAAACATGAATAGACATTTCTCCAAAGAAGACATCCAGATGGCCAACAGACACATAGATTCTCAACATCATTCATCATTAGAATATGCAGATCAAACCCACAATGTGATATCACCTCATTTCTGTCAGAGTGGCTAAAATCAAAACCTCAAGAAACAACAAATGTTGGTGAGGATGAGGAGAAAACGGAACCCTCTTGTACTGTTGATGAGAATGCAAACTGGTGCAGCCACTGTGGAAGATGGTGGGAGGGTCGTCAAAACATTAAAAATAGAACTACTCTGTGATCCAGTAATCGCATCACTGGGTATTTACCCAAAGAAAATGAAAATACTGATTTAAAGGTATATATGTGCTCCTGTGTTCACTGAAGCATTATTTACAATAGCCGAAGTATGGAAGTAGCCAAGTGTCCATCAATAGATGAATGGATAAAGATGTGTGTGTATCTACACACACACACATTTTTCATAAGAAAAAATGAAATCTTGCCATTTGTAACAACATAGATGGATCTAGAGAGTATAGTGCTAAGCAAAATAAGCCAAGCAGAGAAAGACAAATACCATGTGATTTCACTTATATGTGGAATTTAAGAAACAAAATAAAACAAAGGGGGAAAAAAGAGACAACCAAAAAACACACTGTTATCTATAGACAACAAACAGATGGCTACCAGAGGGGAGATGGGTGGGTGGTTGGGTGGGTGGGTAAAATAAGTGAATGGGATTCAAGAGTGCACTTATCTTGCCGAGCCCTGAGTAATATATGTAAGTGTTGAATCAGTATATTGTAAACCTGAAACTAATATAACACTGAATGTTAACTATAAAATTAAGGGGGGAAAAAAATCCTTGGAATTATAGTTGTAGGTCAGGATCCAGACTTTCCTGAGTATATGTCAATTCATGGCTAAACATACTCAAAAATTTGTTTTAAAAAAATGCCTACTGATTTGTTGTGACTCCCTTATTCCATTGTTCTTATTTTGTCTCAATGCTTAACTTTTCAGCATTCATGGAACAAAATGAACTGTTTGCCACTCAAATACGCAAATATTGGGAACAGAAAGATAAAATACATGTGGAGAGCCATTTGTTATTGTTCCAAATAGAATCAGACTAGACGTTTTTCTAAAACTCAGGTTTGGCCACATAACAATAAGTCTAAATATAAATATCCCTTTCCATTCTTTAAACTCTTTGGAAACACCAAAACAGAGGAGCGTGTGGATCTCCATATGATTAGGAATTAAATAATGTTCCCCCTGCATTATCAGAGCAATAATAATGAAACTGTTGAGCCTTCTGTCTTCCAAAAGAGGATCCTTAAAACCTTCTAAAGTCCTAGAATGTCTGTTTATTAAGTGTGAAGATGGAATTTGCTGTTCTGTCTGGTTCCTCTTCCGGGGTGCAGGGAAGATAACGTTGCATCATGAGAGGGGCTGTGTATGTGTACATGTGTTACTTTGAATCACTAAAATTCAAGGGGCCTGACCTTGTTTCTATTTCTCTTGTAGGCCTTGGACTTTTCGTTGCTGATATTTGCAACTGCAGTGGTTGCTTGGGCAGACCATGCAGCCCCTCTCCTCCTCGGCCTCAGTGCCAGTTGGTTGCCATGGCATCAGGAAAATGGCCCGGCTGGGTCAGCTTCAAGCTTCCTTGGCAGGAGTCCAATGCACAGGGTCACTCTACAGGAGGTTCTCACTCTCCTTCCCGGTAGCATGCCTGTTCTGCTGCAAAAGGAGCCATGGAAGGAACAGACCCAGAAGGTGAGGTTGGCAGCCACCTGCCCCAATGGCCATTTGCCCTTCAGCAATTTCTACTCTAGAATTGAGGTTGGGAGTTCAGTGAAACGGGCATCACACTCCGGGTTTTCATACTCCGCCTCAGAAATTGAGGCTAACCACTGGCTCAAAACAAAAGCAAAGCCAACGGCAATAACTTGCTTACAGTCGGAGGTGAGGCGGAAAGAGGAGCTTATACTTGCCTTCTGTTATTAAAGGCACATGTGTTCTTGATCCTGGGGGTGAAGAGATGAGTATGTCCCTGAGTGCTCCGAATGTCAGAGTGAGACAGACGGGAAGGCAAGTTCAAGGCTGCGAGATTATATAAGGAGGATACAGTGCTGGTGGATAATGGAAGGGATGATCAACCATGCCCGGGGGTGGGTCAGGGAAATGGGCATTTGGAGCATCCATGTTCTTGTAGCGTATTTAAGGTTCCTCAGAACTCCTTCCATCCTACAGCCATGTTCCAGGGGCCCGCCATGTTCTTCGCCTGTGCTATATGACATGGGGAAATTTGTAAAGGTCATCAGCCCTGCCCTCAGGAAAATCCAGACTATAGGAAGCACCTTTTGGTTTTTAATGTTGAGTTATCCCGGGCTCCTAGCTGTCATGTGGAGCATCTGAAAACACCATGCTTCCTTGTACTTCTCATTAAGTGGTTCCGAACTATCTTTAATACAGTTGATGGAAAGATTCTTTCTTAAATCCCGTTTAATGAAAACTGGATTTTTATGAAGTTGAAAGCTTGAAGCTAACTTTTTGTAGCTTATTGTTAACAATCTGAACATTAGTCTTTAAAAATATTTCTGAACTACGAACCCACCGGTTAGCCATGCACAACTCCACTGAGCATATCAATTAAAACGCCTTTGTTTTCTTAAGCATTAGTATTATCCCAAATGTTGTTTTTCCATTTCCTTTTAAATCAAAACAAATTTTTATATGCCTATCCTCTCATGTTTCTTCTGGCCTGGGACACCATGATCTCTTTGGACTACAATATAGACATCCTATTCGTAGTGCTTGATTTATTTACTTACCAGTAGGATATTAAAAACAAAATTGAGGGGGGGAAGAAAAAAAATTTAATTAAAGCAGAGAAGTAGGAATATCCTTTCTGTTTTACTCTTTCTTCAAGCCATTTTTTCTATCCAAAGTTAAAATATCTGGTACCCATGACTAATGTATGTGTTTTTTCATGTTCAAGATTGGCAACATTCAGTCATTAATAAAATTACCTTGTATCTAATTCAAAAACAATTTTGGCTTCACACGGGGAATTCGGGGGAAATCAGTCAAGCTCACAAGTAGTCTGAGTTTCTACCTCATTGGCAGGATTTATTTGCAGTAACACATTTGGCGCTACCTAGTAAATTATTTTATGCCTTTCTCTTACATTTCAACCTCGCGTTTCATATCCATTTGGGCACAGCTTGTTCTCAGCTACAGAATATCTTATTTTAGAAACAGAGGCTTATGTCTGATGTGTTTCCCCATGTACCACCCGCCCTACAAGTCTGAGCCTAGATGCACACAGAATCAGGCAGCAGGATGCAGAGAAGGGATGCAAGGCTCTGAGGTCAGGTGTACTTGGGTTCAAGGCTAGATTCTGCTGTTCATGGGGAGTGGACTTGGGCAAGGTTCTTAACGTTTCTGGTGCTCTCAGAAATGAGAGAGAAAGTTCACAGTACACAAGATGCCCTCTGGACCCATGTCTACCTCGCTGTTAAAAATCTATAGTAGGTCTCAGGATGCTTAGCAGGGGAAGGAGCTTTGACTTTGCTGGGTCACTGCACTAAATGGCAACTGTCCACCTTCCCCATCTTATGCCTGGTCCCTTTCTCCTCTCCACTCAGCCCACTCAGGTAGGTATTATCTCAGAGGGCCTGCACTGAGATGCATACATGCAGGCCCAAGGGCCCGACCGCTCTCTTACTATCAATGGGACTGTCTTCACTGATATTGCTCTTTCTTTTCACCCTAGTTCATTGACTGGCTCTTCAGCATCATGGAAAGCCCTAAAGAAGGCCTCTCAGCAAAATCCAGGGATCTGTTGAAAGGTATTACTTCCATCCTACATGCCCAGCACGGGGGAAAGCCATCTGTAGTTATCTTTGCTGCAGAAACAGCGTCCAGCTGTATATCGGTTCCGAAAGGCTCAACTGAATTCGGTCTAGAGTTCAATCTCTAGAGCTGTTGTCATGTGGCATTTTGAACTAGAAAGTGGATTTAAAAAAGAGTTCCATGCCTTTAAATTTAATGTTTATTTAAATAGTTTTTAAATGCTTTATCCTAATGGCAAAAGATCACTTTAAATAAAATTTAGAAAAAAAGCAGAAAAGAACAAAGAGGAATCCAGAGGCCCATTGCCCTGTGGCAGTTTTTATATTTTTTCCTAAGAAGTTTTTGCCCCCTTTGCCTATGAGTGTTCTTCTGACGTATTTGTAATCGTAAACAACTGAAAAATACATATAGATGCTTTGAGTGCACTGCCTTTTTTATTTAAAAATCATTTTTAAAGCATTTTAACCCATTCGTGTATTGGCTGACTAATAGTATAATAAATACTCTTAAGACTCATTAATAGTATTTACAGTAGCTGCCTAGTAGCAATGCCAAAGGAATTGAACATTTCCTATGCTTTCAGGCATTTAAATAGTTTTTTTGTGTGTGCATGTGTGTTTATAATATTTTTTATTTATTTCTAGGAGAGAGAGAGAGAGAGACAGCATGAGCAGGGGAGGGTCAGAGAGAGAGGGAGATACAGACTCTGAAATAGGCTCCAGGCTTTGAGCTGGCAGTCAGCACAGAGCCCGACACGGGGCTCGAACCCACAAACCGCGAGATCATGACCTAAGCGAAAGTCGGACGCCTAACCGACTAAGCCACTCAGGCGCCCCATTTTGTGTGTTTTTTATACTTCTCTATTGATTTGTTAAATAGTGACTATTGGAACCACAAAGAAAGTCTGTCTTTCTGTGAAAATTATGTATACTACTTTACTCAAATCCAAGACATCTTTTGGGTGTTGGTTCTATGGCCTGAAGTAGCTTGTATTTTCCTCTGTGTCTGGGCATTCAGGGGGCAGGGCCCCCAGTGGCTGGTGTCACTATGGCCCCTGACCTGCTGTAAGATACCGCACTGGAAAGTCTCACCTTGGGAAAATCGCCTGTTGGCCTACACTGGTGATCATTTATCTGGCTAGCCTGGAGTCCTAGAGTATGACCGTCTTTTACTCTAAGTGGGGTATGATTTCTCGGTTGCCAGACAAGTAAGAATTCCCTAATCTGTTGGTTCTGATCCTTCTCCCTCCCCCACAACATAGGCAGAGGGCATGTATAGGAAGTGGACTGTGATCGGCCACAGAACTTCACTGAGAATAAGGGCAGTGGCCTCACATATGGTCACTTCATCTGTCCCTGGAGACTCGCTAGGATTTCCTCCATTTGTTTGCCTCAAGAAGTTTAAACTCCTACTTAATGGCCATGTGTCCGTAATACCATTGGCTTCTCCAAACATACACTGCTTTAATACTATCTCAATATATTTATATTAATATCCTAAAATAAGATCTATAGTAAATCACCTAGAGGAACTACATAGAACTTTCCTACTTTAAATTGATCCCTGAGGGACCCATGACAAAGAAGAAAAGGTATAGACTTGTGGGTACATAGTTACATACAGATTGGCACAGATAGGGTTGCTCCGTTGAACACATGAATCTACTGACTTCATCGCAGGATCAGTGTTTCATTTTTTCTTTTACCTTTTAACTGAACATCTAATGGAAAAATCACATTCATGTAGAAAAGTACACAAATCGTAAGCAGGTTTTTTACAAAGGGAACACACCTGTGTAATCTTCATGAGATGAAGAAAAAAAACCCAGCAGCATCCCGGAAGTCAGTTTTTGTTATTATCTGCAGAACTTCATGTTAACTGGTTGCAGAACAGCTTAAATAATTTTTTTTAAAAAACCTTTTCCCAGCTTTTTTATTAATGGATTTCTAATATTAAAATTCTGCCTGTGGCTTGATGGGAATTCTTAGTCTTGAAGATTTAGCCAAGTAAGAAAAAGCCAAGTTCTGTTCTGACACATTTTTGATCTAAATAACCTTTTCAGGGGCACCTGGGTGGCTCAGTCAGTTAAGGGTTCGATTCTTTTTTTTTTTTTTTTAATGTTTTATTTATTTCTAGGAGAGAGAGAGACAGCGTGAGCAGGGGAGGGCCAGAGAGAGAGGGAGTCACAGACTCTGAAACAGGCTCCAGGTTCTGAGCTGGCAGTCAGCACAGAGCCCGATGCGGGGCTCGAACCCACGAACCGCGAGATCATGACCTAAGCGACAGTCAGACACTTAACCGACTAAGCCACCCAGGCGCCCCAAGGGTTCGACTCTTGATACTGGCTCAGGTTGTGACCTTAAAGTTGGGAGGTCAAGCTCCATGTCGGGCTCTGCACTGAGCGTGAAGTCTACTTGCAATTCTCCCTCTCTGCCTTCTCTTTGCCCCTCTTCCACTTAGACACATGCACTCTCTCTCTCAATAAACATTCAGAAATAAATAAGTGAGCTTGTTGAATGTGTTTCGCCAAATGCAAGAGTGTACTTTACTTTCTTTTTTTGTTCCCATAGCCACCCTGCTGTCCTTGAGAGTTCTCCCAGAGTTTAAGAAGAAAGCTGTATGGACCAGAGCATACGGTTGGTGAAGTTCTGTGGTAGCCGGCAACATCCTCGGATGGATGAGGAAAACCATAGACATGGAAGAAGTTTTTCAGAATTCGTGTTTGGGATCGCTGAGCCTTGATGCAGAGAGTTAAGGGTCATGAGAAAGTGAAGACATAACTGACAGCTTGTCACACGGGTACCAGGAGAAGGGGGCCTTGCTTCGGTACCCAGGCCAGTTGAGACTCAAACAAGAACTTGAATTTTCCTTTATTTGGCAGGGGTTCAATCTGAAGATTTTCTTTGCGAAAATTTGACGACACTATCTTCTCCCCCATAAATTCTAGTAAAATAATCTTGTGAATTTTGTGCATGTTCTTTATTTTAAGGCGTGGGAGGAGGTTTTGCTAGCAAAGCCACACTATAGTGGGGATGGTGACATGGTGATCAATTTCCCACAAAGTGTCTGGAGGATATTCATCGACTCAAAGTTTTCTTATTGGTAAAACAGCCTTGGAACTGCTGTCCACGTATAAATAATAATCATGGTGTGTGCTGAACATTAACTAAATCAGATTCGTTAGGGGTGGGTGTCATTTTCTTATGCTTAGGCCTCTTGAATGCAGTTTGAAAGTTACCTAATCCAAAATAGCTTCAGCCAAAGAAGAGAATATGAGTTCACACACCAAGAAGTTCAAGAGCAGATCTGATCGGGTTCAGTCAGCTGCACCCAGTGAGTCCAACAGTGCCATAGGGCATGTGACCGCTCCCCATAGGCCTGCAAAGGGAAGGAAGGTGTCTTTGCCCATGAGTATGACAGAAGCAACATGGAGAGGACCCTGGTTCAGCTTGGATCACATGTGAGTCCCTGAACAACATGGACTTGGGAGGGCGGGTAGATACTCTCCTTTACCGGGCCTGGGTCATACCTGAACTGAGTTTCCTCCAGGAGAAAGGTGAGGGAATGCTGGACAAAAATCTTTTTGACGGCTGCCTCAGTCAGTTGAATGTCCGACTCTTGATTTCAGCTCAGGTCATGATCTCACAGTTCGTGGGATCAGGTCCTGTGGCAGACCCTGCACTGACAGCACGGAGCCTGCTTGGGATTCTGTCTCCCCCCCGCCCCCATCTGCCCCTTCCCCTTGCCCCCACTTATGTGCTCTCACCCTCTCTCCCAAAGAAATAAACATTTTAAAAATACATCTTTTTGAAAGAAACATGTTTTTTCTAAGTACAAATCTCTATCTTAAGCAGGGAGGCTGGTGGCCTAATGACAAAGAAATGAAGTTATGTGACAGTATCGTCAAGGATGGCATTTTACCCAAGGGCTTGAGAATCAGGCAACATTTTCATTTTGATCCGTTTGCTAATAATTTTTCCTTCGTGCAGGCATCAAAGTTGGCTTTAACCAACCATATGAATGTACTGATGGAATCAAACATGGGGTCACTGGGGAGAAAAGTTGGGCCCCCGGAGTAACAATGTACCTTTGTGTCTACAGTGCCAAGCGGTGCCTGGGTCTTTACAAGCACCAGAGAACCATTGGTTTTCCTGTTTGACAGCCTGTGCCTTCATGTCACCAAGTGAACCTCTCTACCACTTCGGTCAAAAATAGTTTGTTTTCCAAAGAGATGGATTTTTGATGGCAGGTTTCAAGTATCTGTGGTTCACTTCGTAATTCACATCTTTCTTTCTTTTGCTGAACCCCAATAGGGTGCCGAGATGCTTACCAAAAAGGGGAAGGAAAGGCGAGCTCTCAGGTAGTTTCACCTGCATTGCCGATATTTCGTGTTTATTACTTCCTTACAGGCTGGGCTAGAGGGAAATGAATTTGAGGGCAGGAGGTGAAAATTTTATGTTAGGAGCTGGCTTCTCTTTCCTTCCCACTGCATACATTTTCTTATACTTCCTAGCAATCAGAGACTGAAATTCACCTGACATTTGTTAAGTACCAGACTAGAACTTCCACTTGGATTATCTTCTTTCATTCCTACAACAATACTGTGAAGAGGCATTTTCTATTTTAAAATGGAGAAAATACATCTAATGAGAGGCAGAGCTATCCATAGATTAGCAGGACCCTAAAATCCCATATCCAGTGCTCTTTCTACTGAATCAGGGCATCAGCACCCACTTTAAGATGAGAACTCCTGGGGTGCCTGGATGGCTCAATCAGTCGGGTGTCCAACTCTTGATTTCAGCTCAGGTTGTGATCTCGCAGTTCATGGTTTGAGCCCCGCATTGGGCTCTGTGCTGTTAGCTAGGAGCCTGGAGCCTGCTTCGGATTCTGTCTCCCACTCTCTCTCTCTGCCCCTCCCCCACTCATGCTTTGTGTCTCTCTCTCAAAAATAAATAAAACATTAAAAAATTTTTAAAAAGATGAAAATTCCTACCAAGGATTGAATCTCATTCATGCTTAATACAGATTGCTGCAATCAGTTCAAAGAAATAACCCATAAGCATGGGGAAAACCCGTCAACAATACTGAAATAATGGTGACAGGTGGTAACTACACTTACTAGAGTACACGTTGCGTAATGTATAGAATAGTCAAACATCGATACTGTACTACTGAAACTAATATGACGTTGTCCACTCCAAAAAAAAAAAAATTGAAAATACTACCTCATGTTAGTAAGCTGCTGGAATTGAGAAGTTAGGAGTTGTAAATAGATCTTTGTGAGTTAAAGGACTTTGAATTCCTGGGCCAGCTTGCAAAGGTGGGTGGCAGTCAAGAACAGTGAGAGGGTGTGGACACTGAAAAGGACTTCTGAGGGGCGCCTGGGTGGCTTAGTGGGTTAAGCGTCCGACTTTCGCTTAGGTCATGATCTCACTTTCGCTTAGGTCATGATCTCACGGTTCGTGGGTTCGAGCCCCGCGTCGGGCTCTGTGCTGACAGCCAGCTCAGAGCCTGGAGCCTGTTTCAGATTCTGTGTCTCCCTCTCTCTCTGAACCCCGCCCCCCGCTCACGCTGTCTCTCTCTCTCAGAAATAAAACATTAAAAAAAATTTTTAAAAAGAAAAAAGAAAAGGACTTCTGCATTTCCGTCCTGAAGTGGCAGGCAGAGCCTGTTAAGTGCTGGAGGAGGAGGAAGAATTAACCCAGTCTCCTAAATCCAGCTGCCTTCTCAATCTCAAACTTTGTCCCTGCTCCTGCCCTTGACGAACAGAAGAGTACACAATGGAAGACATAAAATAAATCTGTATCGTTTCTTCCCTAGCCACCCCACTCCACCCCATTTGTGTTCAGCAGTCTTAAGGTTAAGATCTGTAGCATTTTCCTATGCACGGTACCCTCGAAAGAGTCTAAAATGTAAGATTGTAAACTTGAAAATCTGAAGGTTCTAAAATCTAAAGATACAGGTCACGGGAATAGGAACACTCTTTCTCCTGATTACCTGTGTGACGTCAGGTCAGAAGGGAGTTCTTCCCTCAGGATAGCTCTCCTCTAGAAATCAGAAGTCTCTGCCTTTTCAGACCAGATGTTCCAAACTATATACAAAAGGAAACATTTCCCTCCAAGTCATCTTCTGTCGGATTTTGGAATCACAAGTTGCCAAGACAAATAGCATGTTGGAATATCCTAACAAATTAATGTGTGGGGTTAAAGCCTTATTATGTGTCTCCAGAGTATCCAAACCCTCTGACTCTTGATTTGAAAAGTGTGCATTCAGAACAGATGTTGGGATCCAGGCAAGCGCCTAAAATTACCTTTTTTTTCTTTGCAATGGGATGACTCCATGGTAACTAACTACAAGGCTCTTCACAACCTTTTTGCCAGAGGTTCTCCAAAATGATCTTAACCAAAGATAATGATAGTGTAATTATACTAAGACTTTGTTAGGAATTCAGTAACTCTCTCGAAGTAACTTAGTAGCTTTGAAGATACGCAGTTTTAAACTTGTGGTAAACATCTTTGTCAATTGCTGTTTTAGAAGGGAAGTCGGATCATTTGGTTGGGAGGCTTGGCCTTCCCTAAAGCCAGTGTTGTAGGTAAGATGTCTGCTGAGTCCACATCTCTATTCCTGGCTGCAGGCATCTCTAACACAACCCCGGGACAGAATGCGGCTGCAACAATTTACATCCTTCATCCTGCCATGGCAGAAAACACCTCCCCGCGTCATCTTCATGTGTAGATGGGGATCGTCATCGCTTTGGTCCTGGATGACAAATATGGTAATATGCTTTTTTATATTTTCTCGAAGGAAATACTTAATTCTGATCCTGGAAACGCTAAGGTCTTTTTTTTTTTTTTTTTAGTGTATGTCAGATACAGTAATTATGAAGTTGTGAGTATGCATGTAATTTGTTCAAGATCGTTTGATTCTTATCAAACATAAGGGATGTGTGAAATAATTTCCAGCTAAATTATTGGACACGAAACTAAGGAAGAGTGACAGTGATGACTCCCTGACTTTGGTTTTATTTCTCGGATACAAGGAATAACTTCCTTCACCAAGTAGTTGTGAGGATCAAATACAAAAAGATGCTTTATAAATTCTCAAAGGTACTAGAAACTCACTTTTATAGGTTTTACTGAAAAGAAAACAGCTCTAATGCTTGACCATGTGTACATTGGGACTTGGGAAGATAATAGAAATCTAACAAATTGTTCTCCTTATAACATTCTAAGCGCAAGTAACACATTAAGAAAGGATACTAATGTAAGTTTAAAAAAACTTCATGTGTCTTCTAAACATGAAGTGCCCTTTGAGACTGATCAAACATAAGTGAAACATCAACTAGTTGATAGATTTCTTAGAACAAGTCTATTTCCGGATGTACTGGTAGCGATCTATAATGTCAGAGCTGCAGTTAGGGAGTGTGTGCAATGTGCCACCATATCAGGTCCTGGGGGACAAAGTTAATAAGGCAGGACACTCCTGCCTTCATAGAACTTAGATTCAGAAAATGTAAATCAGTAAACCATCATATACGTTTAAAGCATCCAGGAAGCGGGTTACAAATATCCTATTTCTGTAGAGCTGCTTATAATTTTAAAAGGCTTAATTTACCACACTTCATCTGTTGGCCAAGGAAGGAAACGGACTCAGAGGCATTCAGTTTGTAAACACTGGAACTGGATTTCAAATTGTTGCTTGTTTATTTTTGAGACAGAGAACACCAGCGGGGCAGGGGCAAAGAGAGGGAGACACAGAATCCGCAACAGGCTCCAGACTCTGAGCTGTCAGCACAGAACCCGATGTGGGGCTCAAACTCAGAAACCGCGAGATCATGACCTGAGCCAAAGTCAGATGCTTAACCAACTGAGCCACCCAGGCATCCCTGGCGCTGTATTTCAAATCATATCCACTGTCCTAATGTCCAGGCCACATTCTCACTGGACCCCGTGGCTCAGCTGAATACCACAAAGTAAGTATGTGGTAGACACCTACATTTGATGAATTAAGACAGGTTCTTGCTGGGGCGCCTGGGTGGCTTAGTCGGTTAAGCGTCCGATTTTCACTTAGGTCATGATCTTGCGGTTCGTGGGTTTGAGCCCCGAGTCGGGCTCTATGCTGGCTGCCAGCTCGGAGCCTGGAGCCTGTTTTGGTCTGTGACTCCCTCTCTCTCTGACCCTCCCCTGTTCACGCTGTCTCTCTCTCCTAGAAATAAATAAAACATTTAAAAAAAAAAAAAGACATGTTCTTGCTAATTGATCTTCATATGGAATTGACAGTTCCCCTTTTTTAAAGATGAGACTTTAGGGGCGCCTGGGTGGCTTAGTCAGTTAAGCGTCCGACTTTCGCTTTGGTCATGATCTCTCGGTTCTTGGGTTCGAGCCTCTCGTCGGGCTCTGTGCTGACTGCCAGTTCAGAGCCTGGAGCCTGTTTCAGTCTGTGACTCCCCCTCTCTCTGACCCTCCCCTGCTCACGCTGTCTCTCTCTCTCCTAGAAATAAAAAAATAAAAAAAATAAAAAAAAAAGATGAGACTTTAAACTCTAGCCACCCTTAGCAAAGATCAACAAATTCCTGTGTAGCATCTTTAAACATAAAATAAATGAATCACCTCAGTTCTAAAAACAGAACTACATTGCATGGTAGCTTTTTAAATTTTTTTAATGTTTATTTTTGAGAGAGAGAGAGCACGAGTGGGGGAGGGCGGAGAGGGAGGGAGACACCAAATCCAAAACAGGCTCCAGGCTCTGAGCTGTCAGCACAGAGCTGGATATGGGGCTTGAACTCACGAACCATGAGATCACAACCTGAGCTCAAGTCAGATGCTTAACTGAGTCACCCAGGTGCCCCACATGGTGGCTTTTACAGAAGTTCTTATTAGCAGTTTCTGTCCAAAGCTGAAATACTTTAGATTCAAACTCTGATGTGCCAGAGGTGCATTTGAGAAGCCTGTCAAAATGCAGGCTCCTGGGTCCCAATGGCACCCTGGTTGGTTCTGGGACTGTGGCTCCCCGGAACATACTTTGAAAAGGTACCGTGGTACGAAGTGCCATTATCAAAGTTAGCACAGCAATTAGGCCCAGAAATAGAAAGTAAATATTACCCGAACAAAGGGAAAACAACGTTTACAAAGCAAAAATGAATGAGATGAAGATGTTGGGGGAAGGGGAGATCATTTTTAGCACATTTTAATTTTAAATCACTTTAATACTTTAGCACAATAAAATGTGACCATTTTGTCCATAAATGTAAGATTCTTTGCAGAAACATTTTGGATATTGATGTTTAGCTACACATCGTCTTTTGAAAGAAATGCAAATTCTTGTATGTGACAGCTTGTCAAGGTAGGCAGAATAAGGTATACTAAAACAAGAGAGTTAACCGCTTTAGGGACGTTAGTGAGATATGGTGTATTCTTTTTTGTTTTATCTATTTCTGAGAGAGAGACAGCATGAGCAGGGGAGGGTCAGAGAGAGAGGGAGACCCAGAATCTGAAACAGGCTCCAGGCTCTGAGCTGGCTGTCAGCACAGAGCCCGACGGGGAGCTCGAACTCACGGACCGCGAGATCATGACCTGAGCCAAAGTCGGACGCTTAACCAACTAAGCCACCCAGGCGCCCCTGTGGTGTGTTCTTTATTAACAAACGTGTTTGCAGGAGGCCTGCATAAGGGTTTTATGCTGTTATGCCTGCAGTGTGACCGGCCCCCCACAACATTAATCTGTTTGTTGAAGAAAAACGTAAGACAAGGAGAAGAGTGTTGAAAAGCCTGCTGGAAGAAAAGAAAATGCATTAATGCTGAATGGATATGGTTGGAAGAAGTGTTCCTGCTTTACTTTGATAAAGAAAAGGCCCAGGGACTTTGATGCTATTACAATGTGTGTGTGGTATTTTTTAGGCAGACTTTTGCTGAGTGATGAAAGTTCTTCGAAGTTGTTTTCTTTCAGAGCAGTTTTATCCACCGCCAGGCCTCCCTCCCCCTCCAGCGGTCCTGGTGACGTAGCTTACTTACTACACCTTAGCTGGGGTTACCTAGAACGTGAGGCAGTGGAACTTGCATTGAAAACTCCAAAGAAAAATCATTTTAAAAGATACATGTTGTGCTTTAAAAATGTTTCCTATTTCATCTATGTGTATTTGATTTGAAAAACTAAGCATTTGACAACACTGAACAAGATGAAATAGAGATTTGATGGACATACAGTTAAAAGAGCCAAAGAAATCAACTTTGCAATCTGGGTAATAGCCAATTAGGTAGATGCTTACTGGCTAGGTTTCTTAGCCGTGAGCTTGAGCCAGAACATGAGCCTGAGTGCATAAATTACATCCCTAGTTTTACTAATCTCTAATGAAATTTAATATTTCTTTCAATGATGGATACAGGCAACCAACCACAATAATAATTGTGCCTGGGTCAACAAAGGTGTCCAACGGATCTTAGCTTTAGTTGTCGCAGAGACCTGAAATTGTCAATCCATAATTCTGAATTTACTGGTTTTTTAGTCTTCTATTTTAAGAAGTAGGCAGGTTCTTAAGGTAATTTGGTTTAAAAGTTAAAGTATTACTTAATAACAAAATGCAGTTTCTCTAATTCTCACTCTGCTCTTTAGTGATTCTAGATCTAAATAGTATTTTAGTGATATTTATTGAGAGGAAGCTAGACTGAATCACCTAAAATTTGCAGAGGGATTCTGTTCTCTTCATATGCTAGAGCTTTCACTAGTTTTTTAAAATAAGCAGCTTTAGAAACAAACCGTAGCTTTTTAAAGGGATAATTTTTATACGTATTTTAAAATTCCAACTAGGATACTAAATTTGTAAAGATATCAATTATCTATTAATACTCAACTTTTTCAATGTTTTATTTCGTGGAAAGAAGATTACCAATTTTTTTGTAACTACATTTTTACTACCTGGCTTTTATGTCACAAAATGTTTAGTTCCCTTTTTATATGGTTACTGGATAAGAAGATTCTAGAATTCTTTGAAGAAAAGTGAATGCGATACCAATGGCACAGAAATGATGCCATTAGTCAATTATTCAAATATTTTCAATCTTTAAGTTTTCAAAACTATAAGTGATGACATAGTAATTAGCAATAATTGAATAACACTCTGAAACATCACTAGTTCTTAATTGCCTTGTTTCCTTTAAGATTATTATGGTTTTGTACCTTTTATCTCCCCGTAAGATATGTATATGGCCTCACGTTTCTTTCAGAGAAGAAATATGGGGCATTATTTAGATCTGTTCTGTTTTCATCAGGATCCTCTTTTAAGGATCAAAGTCCAAATAACTTATGTAATATTAATGAATACTCTTTCAGGGTTTGGAAAATGTGTAAAACGGGTGTTAACTATGGCGATGGCGGGGCATCTGTCTACACAGTGTTTTTCTAGACAACTGCAGACCATATTTCACACTGTTGCCCTCCCACGGATCTGCTATTCGGGAACTCCGAGGTGAAAAGAAATAGATGTAAATAGATAGAATTCTGGCTAATAGCTTTGGTTTCTCGATTTAACGGAGTCTATTCCAGTTAATCTCCTACTTCTCGTTAACCTTACAGGAAAATAATCAGGCTTCACACGATGTACATTCAACTTGTATAAAACCCACAGCTTTGGTGAAATAGGCTGTACAGAAGAATATGTGTTTTGAAAACCTGTGAGAATAACAGAGTGCCGTGATACGTCTCAAGTTTGAGGAGAACAATTCTGTTGTGGATTTTTGTCGAATACCAGGTATTTTTCCACCACGGTACCGTTTACTGCAGCGGAATCCACAAGCCTGGTTTTTCCTGGTAATATCAGAGCGCCGTGCTTCACACTTTCTTCTTTTTCACGGGAAAGATGCGGAGGACGTCTCTTCTTTCGGAGTAAAGATGACTGTAGGTAAAATACATACCTAAGGGGAAAACTAAGTAAGGTTTACCAAGCATTCCCCTGGAAAGAACTGTGGTTTTAAAAGACTCCACACAGCACTCTGATTGTATAAGGCCAAGACACTTGCAAAGGAGACCCAAAGAAGGAACACTTAACGGGGCGCCTGGGTGGCTCAGTCTGTTAAGCGTCCAGCTTCAACTCAGATCATGACCTCACGGTTCATGAGTTCAAGCCCCGCCTCAGGCTCTGCTGACAGCTCAGAGCTTGGAGCCTGCTTCGGATTCTGTGTCTCCCTCTCTCTCTGCCCCTTCCCAGCTCGCTCTCTCTCTCTCACAAATAAATAAACTTAAAAAGGAACACTTAACCAAGGGTGGATTTTCTTATTTTGTGGCAGGGAATTTATTTTTTCCTTTCTTTGGGGTAGCTCTCTACCACCCCTGAAGTTTCGCATCTGTCTGCTCTTTTATGCATTGTTCTTCTAGGTCTGATAGTGATTACCTCTAGAAGGTAACAACCATCTTGCGGACTTGGGAAGGTTAGAGCAGCAGAAAGTGAAACGTAATCATGGAAGTCCTTTGCTAATTAAATTTTCTCAACTCTAAGTGTTTGTTCCACACGTTTCTCTTGTGTTTTTAGCACCTACTCCCACCTGCCTGCTGGGAAATGCTAGCACATAAAACCAAACAAACAGGAAACAAAATACATATAAATGGGAAGCCCAGAAATGTCCAAGCTTGCTTCGTTTGACATCTGTGTTTTCTCTGAAGATCCCTATGTCCATGGTCAAACCTTTTTTTTTTTTAAACAATCATTTCTTTTTGAGAGACAGCATGAGCTAGGGAGGGGCAGAGAGAAAGGGAGACACAGAATCTGAAGCAGGCTCCAGGCTCAGCTGTCAGCACAGAGCCCAATGCATGGCTCAAACTCACTAACCGTGAGAGCATGACCTGAGCCGAAGTCGGCCACTTAACCGACTGAGCCACCCAGGTGCCCCTCCATCGTCACAATGCAGGTGTTGCCTGCTATTAAAAATGTTCATGTTTATAGTGATATATTTGATCTCATGATGTCCTGCAAAAAGCGTTGCAACTACCAGGTGCTTTACTAACAAGATCTAGTTCATTGTGCCAGGCTTCCTTTTCTGTCTCTCTCATGTTCACAGACCTTTCTGCTAAGGTAGAGAGCAGCACAAACCAGAAAGTGCAGGAAGAACGCAAAAACAAAACTGAAAAGCCACTTACCTATAAAGAGCATCATGAGATAGAGTTTCAGCACATAGGGGAAATAGATCGCTAAGTCAAAGGGCAGCTTTGTGGAGTATGTGCCAAATGATTCAAAATAAGGCAGTGACTGATAAATGGCAAATGCTGTTTAAAGAACAAGGAAAAAATTGTGAGTTTCCCCTCATACTGCTACAGGGATGGGCATCCATGCGCACGTGCATGCATGCACACACACACACACACACACACTCAGATTTTGAATTTTATGACAGTTGTGACCATTGCTGAATCCTATAGCTAAAGCTACAGTTGAGTAAAGAAATCTGAATGACTAACCTGGCAAGATCATTATAACTGTGTGAGTTGAATTTTTTTCTTCATGTTACACTTGGTTATGCCTACAGAGAAGTAGTTTACAGTTTCTTAAAATGATATCCCTCAGTACTTGTCATCTCAGCCACAAACAGGGGTGGAGAGATAGATCGATGAATTTGAAAAATGGGGGGTACACGGCTTCTCTGCTTGGAGTTCCAAAACACCTATCAGTACAGCAGAGATTCTGAAAAGCTCTGCAATAAAGAAACTGCTTTTACTCAACATCTCCTCAGCTTAACTAGCCTTGGAATAGCCCCTCCTTCCTCCCCACCCACTAGTAGAACTTAAAATATTCTAAGAAACTCTGGGAGAAATGGTGGTCTAAAGGATTTTGAGTGAGGTGGCTGCTGTCAGATAAAAAGAGACGGTGGTTCAGAGAGTCAGGGAGAAGATGGGGACGTAGGGGGAGCCTGAGTTCAGCTCAACCCATGGACACACCAAGGTAACCGCTATATCTGGACAACTCTGAAAACATCCTGAAGTCTGGACAGCCCTTTCACATCTAACTGAGAGAGAAGGCCACATGGAACAGGGTAGGAGGGGTGATGTGGTTGGAAACCAAAACCCTAGTGAGACTAGCCACAAATGGGAGAGACACCAGAAGCATGGAGAAGCAAGGAAATAAGACCCCACCCCAGAGCTTCCTGGCCCTGGGGAACCGCCATGGGAACAAGTCCCTGTAACATCTGGCCTTGAAATCCAGTGCGGCTAATCTCTGGGAGCCTTAAAATTCAGCAGGATACAAGGTTAGAAGAAGGAAGGAAATTACAAAGATCAGAGCAGGGATGGATGAAATAGTCTTAAAAAAAATAGATCAATGGAACCAAGAGCTGGTTCTTAGAAAAGATAAAATTAATAAACCTTTAGCCAAGCTCATCAAAAAAAAAAGGAGACTGAAATAAAAACTGACCCACAGAAATACAAAAGATTATAAGACTACTATGAAAATTTGGAATGCCAACAAATTAGGCAACGTAGAGAAAATAAATTCCTAGGAACATACACCTTTCCAAAACTGAATCAGGAAAAAATAGAAAATCTGAATAGACCCATTATTAGAAACATTGAATCGACAATTTGAAAAATTACCACCAAACAGAAGTCCAGGACCAGCTGGATTCACGGGTGAATTTTAACAAACATTTAAGAAGAGCTTATACCTATTCATATCAATCTATTCAAAAAGAAAAAGAAGAGGAGGAGGAAGGGAAACTTCCTATATTCTCTGAGGCCAGCTTTACCTTTACATCAAAACAAAAGATACTACCCCCTCCCACTACCCTCCCTCAAAAAACAGGCCATCATCCCTAATGAACATAGATGCAAAAATCCTCAACAAATTAGCAGACCACATTCAACACTACATGAAAAGGACCATTTAGCACAATTAAGTGGGATTGATTATGGGGCTGCTAGGAGGGTTCCATACTTGCAAATCAATCAGTGTGATCAACAAAAGATAAAAATCACAATCAACAGATGACAAAAAAAAAACATCTGACAAAACATCTGTTCATGATATAAACTCAACAAAGTGGGTTTAGAGAAAATATTCCTCAACATAATAAATACTGTATATTAAAAACCCAAAGCTAAAATCATACTCTGTGACAAACTAAGACCTTTTCCTCTAAGATCAGGAACAAGTCAAGCTGTCCACTATTGCCACTTTATGCAACATAGTACTAAAAGTCCTGGCTACATCAGTTAGACAAGAAAAGGAAGTAGGAGGCATCCAAACTGGCAAGGAAGAAGTTAAACTCACTGCACAAGATATGATACTATATATAAACATCCTAAAGATGTCACCAAAAAGCAGAAGTAACAAACCAACTCAGTAAAGTTGCAGGATACAAAATTAACACATGGAAGTCATTTTTATATACTAATAAAGTAGCAGGAAGAAAAGCAAAGAAAACAATCCCATTAACAATTGCATCAAGAAGAATAAAATATGTAGGAATACTTAGGAAGTAAAACACCTATACTCTGAAAACTGTAAGACACTGATGATGAAAGAGACTGAAGACAACACAAACAAATAGATATACCATCCTCGTGGACTAGAAGAATATCATTAAAATGTCTATACTACCCAAGGCGCCTAGGTGGCTCAGTCAGTTAAGTGTCCAATTTCAGTTCAGGTCATGATCTCACAATTTGTGAATTCAAGTCCTGCATCAGGCTTGTACTGACAGTGCAAGACCTGCTTGGGACTCTCTCCCTCCCACTTACTCTTTCTAAAAATAAGTAAAATCCATACTACCCAAAGCAAACTACAGACTCAGTGCAATCCCTATCAAAATACCAATAGCATTTTTCATAGAACTAGAATAAATAATCCTAAAGTTTGTATGGAACCACAAAAGACCTTGACTAGCCAAAGCAATCTTGAGGGAAAAACAACACAGCTGGGGGTAGCACAATTGCATATTCCAAGGTATACAACAAACCTGATGGAATCAAAACAGTATAGTACTGGCACAAAAATAAACACAAAAATTAATGGAATAGGATAGAGAACCAATAAATAAACCTATGCCTATATGGTCAATCTATGACAAAGGAAGCAAGAATTTACAATGCAGAAAAAGTCTCTTCAATAAATGATGCTGGGAAAACTGAACAGCCACATTCAAAAGAATGAAACTGGACCCCTTTCTTATACACAAAAATAAGCTTGAAATGGATAAAAGACCTAAATGTGAAACCTGAAACCATAAAACTCCTAGAAGAAAACATAGGCAGTATACTCCTATGGGTAGATCTCCTCAGACAAGGGCAACAAAAGCAAAATTAAACTATTGAGACTACACCAAAAAAGAAAAAATCCACAGTGAAGGAAACCATCAACAAAACATAAAGACACCCTACTAATGGGAGAATGCAAATTATGTATCTTACAAGGCATTAATATCCAAAATATATGAAGAATTGATACGACTCAACACTGAAAACACAATGCAATTAAAAAATGTGAAGACATGAACATATATTTCTCCAAAGAAGACATACAGACAGATGCTTGACATCAGTAATCATCACAGAAACGCAAGTCAAAATCACAATGAGATATCACCTCAGATTTGTCAGGGTGGCTAGTACAAAAAAACCAAACAAACAAACAAGAACTAACAAGTATGGGCAAGGATGTAGAGAAAAGGGAACCCTCTTACACTGTTGTTAGGAATATAAATAGGAGCAGCCAGTGTGGAAAATAGTATGGAGGTCTTTCAAAAAATTAAATATAGAAATACCATACTATCCAGTAATTCCACTTGCTGGTCCACCCACCCACTAGTCACAGAGGCTTCAAATAGCCCCCTCCCTAGTATAGGGATCAAACCCTGCCCAATGTGCCCAAAGCAGGCAAAGTGGGTCATAGCAGCTGGCTGAACTGAAGGCAACTGGGCTGAACTGAAGGCAACTGCAGCTCTGCCACAACAGTAGGGCACACGCAGTCCACACAGGGGACATTCCTAAAGTGCCAGATTTTGAAGACCAAGTGGAGAGTTGTGCTATAGGACACCACAGGACTTTTTCAATATAAGGCCTCTACTTTCAAGACCAGGAGATGCAGAGGCACTTGGGTGGCTCAGTCAGTCAAGCATCCAACTTCAGCTCAGGTCATTATCTCACAGCTCCTGAGTTTGAGCCTTGCATTGGGTTCTGCACTGACAGCTCAGAGCCTGGAGCCTCCTTCAGATTCTGCGTCTCCCTCTCTCTGTCCTTCCCCTGCTCATACTCGGTCTCTCTAAAAAATAAACAAACATTAAAGAAAAAAAAAAAAAAACAGGAGATGCTGACTTACCTGATACACAAAAACGCAGAGTTAGACAAAATGAGGAGACAGGAATATGACCCAAATGAAAGGAAAAAAAATCACAGTAAAAGAGCTAAATGAAACATAATCAATGTGCCTAATAAAGAGTTCCAAGTAATGGTCATAAAGATAATCACTGGATGTGAGAAGAGAGTAGATGATCTCAATGAGAACTTCAACAAAGAGAAAATATACAAAAGAACCAGTTAGAGCTGAAGAATTCAATACATGAAGTAACTACACAAGAAGAAATCAAGAGCAGATTAGAGGATGCAGAAGAACGCAACAATATGGAAGACAGCATAATGGAAAGCAATCAGGCTGAACAGCAAGAAGAAAAAATAAAAAATGAGATCTATTAAGTGAGTTCAACAACACTATCAAGAGTAACAATATTCACATTATAGGGATACCAGAAGAGAGAGAGAAGGGAGTGGAAAAGTTATTTGAAGAAATAACTCAAAACTTCCCCAATCTGGGAAAGAAAAGAGACATCCAACTTCAGGAAGCACATAGAGCCCCAAAAAGATGAATCCAAGGATGTCCACACCAATTATATTCAACCATAATAACTGAGATGGCAAAAAGTAGTGAGATAGAGTGAATTTTTGAAGCAGCAAGAACTGCTTCTAGAGCATAACTAGAAGAAAATCACAGTAGAGGTGGTAGATTCACCAATTATAAAGCTAGTATGGAATTTTAAACACAAAAGTAGTAAAATCAATTATATCTATAAAACTTAATCAAGGGACACAAAGAGGAAGTATGTAAAATATGACATCATATATATATGTTATATACATATATAACATATATATAACATATATATAACATATATGTGTGTGTGTATATATATATATATATATATATATATATAACATGGAGAGGGAAGTAAAACTTTAGTGCTTTTAGAATGTGTTCAAACTTAGGTGACCATCAACTTAAT